ACCGAAGTGCACCTCAACTTTCCTATTTGAATAGGGACACCGAGTATATCATTCCATATTCAAATAGAGTTCAATATTACGAATTCAACTTAATTTTCATTTGTGGGGCTACTTGAAACAACAGGTTTATGAGTCGCCAATTGTGAATATGGTAGAAATAATGAAAGAGGAAATCACAAATTTATGCTCACAAATTGATCGCAACGTGATACATAGGGTCACAATGAACGTTATCAAAAGAGCTAGGAAATGTTTGCAGCAGAATGGACGACATATTGAGCAGTTGGGGTTTTGATTATTTTCTTTTCATTCGATTTCAATCGTGTCATTTAAATGAAATCTAATCATACAAATTTTTAATTGAATCGTTATATTTTTTGGCATATCTTCGTAATCGTTTGAAAAAATCCCATCGAACCCGGCATTGTTGAATTTGTAATAATGAACTCTACTTGAATATGAAATAATATACAGGGTTTCCCTATTCAAATAGTAAAATTTAGGTGCACTTCGGTGTGACCCTGTCTACGATTTATTCAGTAGCATATTTCGAGACATTTTAACTGGGACACGGTGTATATAAGTATATTAATGATTGGTTGAAGAAGATTAGAAATCAAACTGAGTGAAAATTCAAGAGGAGTTCAAATGAACATATATGCCCTGAACCTCTTAACTATAGGGTGTTCAAACTTTAAGAAAAAATTCGTTTTTTTATCATAACTTCGATACTGTCATAGATATTTCCATAAAAAGTTGACATGCACCAACTAGACACCCATATATATAGGTATTTTTTGATGCAGGATATTTGAAAATTCCTACCAGTGGCGTCCGTAAGGGATGTTTACTTTAGATTTTTCCAAAAAATAATTGTACGCCCCTGCTTTTTTCAGAAATAAAAATAACTTTCGAAATCTTCATTCATTTTGCAACATTTTGAAATCTCAATTTTAATTTCCATCTGACGCACTGTTTTCGCGTAAAAAAATAAAACCGTTTTCATGTTTTTATGGAATAACGAAATTATTTTGAACTAATAAGCTGGTGCCCTATTTTTATTCAAAATAATGATATTCGAACTATAACGTTGCGATCTTATTTTGACAATAACGGTAACGTTTATGAATACGTCACAGTTTTTAAAATTGTGAAAGTTATTTTAATCAAAAATAAAAAGAAAATAAGTAACCTATGCCAAGATTCAGAAATCAAGAGTTGGCAGATATGCATTCTACCTACCGACTTGCTGACGGAAATGCTTATATGGCTAGGCGGATATATCCCCTAACAACACAAGTACATTCTAGGGACATCCCTAATTTTATACTAGGACATCCCAGGGATATCGTTTGTCGGGACAAAGTAGATACTAGGGACTTCCCAGGAACATCTGCTGGCCGACAAAAAAGGCATGCAAGGGATGTCCTTCTGGTACGTCCCTGGCATGTACCAAGTACGAAGAAAGAATATCCCTATCACTTTCTTGAAAACAATTTGCCAAATTTTCTCGTGGATGTACAGGGTGATTCGCCATAAATGTCCCCCCCTCTAGCTCAGTTATTTTTGAACCGATTGCAAAATTTTAAATATCATCTAAAATGATTTTCGATAAAGTTTTTTTCCACTACATCGGAAAATACAAGGTGCTCGGAACAAACGATCTACAGGGCACTTTTTGATTTTTTTTAATGGAACACCCTATTGTTCGTTGCATTTTTAGATTCTTCCTGGAGAGCTGATTCCATCGATATATCACACTTGGGGTCTAGCGGAAATAATTACAGAGATATAGGGTGTACAAAATCGAGATTTTTTAACTTTAGGATTTTTCTGTGACGAAACTATTCATTATCGGTCAAAACAGCTTTCATGTCCGTATCTCAACTTTTGATTCACTATCTACTGACATTTAATAATTGGAACAGATACAGGGTGATCAGAATTCTGAATCTTGAATCACACTGTATATGTTCTAATTGAATGTCAGTAGATAGTAATTCGAAAGTTGAGATAGGGACATGAAGCCGTTTTGACCAATGATGAAAAGTTTCGACACAAAAAAATCCTAAAGTTGAAAAATTTCGATTTTGAACACCCTATATCTCTGTAATCATTCCCACTAGACCCCAAGTGTGATACATTGATGAAATCAGCTCTTCTGGGAGAATATAAAAGTACAATGAAATACAGGGTGTTCCATTTGAAAAAACCAAGTAGTACTATGTAGATCGTTTGGTCCGAGCACCCTGTATTTTCTGATGCAACGGGAAAAAAATTTCTGAAAAATCATTTTAGATGATTGTTCAAATTTTTAAATCGGTTCAAAAATGAGTGAGCTAGAGGGGGGGACATTTATGGTGAATCACCGTGTACCTCTTTTATTAAGACAAGAATTGTGGTACATGCATGATGGTGCTCCTGCACATTTTAGTATTCTTGCTATACTAGGGAATTTATAAATGAAGCATTAAGACGAATCGCTGATGGATAGGACGTGGCGGAATTCAATCTTGGCCTCCCAGGTCCCCTGATTTGAATAGTTCACACTATTTGTTGTGGGGGCACCTGTTCAAACTGCAGGAAAACTAAAGTAGAAAATCACACAATCTTGCCATACCATAAGGAATAATACTCCTGGAATTTGAACGCGTTCGCCAATCCATGAGACAGAGAATGAAAGTTTGTATTCTAGCAGAAGGAGGACATTTTCAACA